CTCTCTCTCTCTCTCTCTCTCTCTCTCTCTCTCTCTCTCTCTCTCTCCCCCTCCCCCTCCCTCCCTCTTCCTCTCCCTCTCCCTCTCCCTCTCCCTCTCCCTCTCCCTCTCCCTCTCTCTCCCTCTCCCTCCCCCTCTCCCCCTCTCTCTCTCTCTCTCTCTCTCTCTCGTCATTCGGAACCGGTTTCCAAAAAGATCGGTAACAAAAAATAGTACATTTTAAAGCACTCCCCGGGAAATTCTACCCCCCTACTTCATGTATAATTCTTTGAGATTCAATCAATTATTTCCCGAAAAATTGGAAAAATTAAAAAACCGGTTTCCAAAAAGGTCGGTAACAAAAACTGTACACATCATGGCGCTCCCCGTAAAATTCTACTCCTACTTCATATACATTATACAATTCTTTAAAATTCGGAAAAATTGAAAAAATTTTGGTACCGGCTTCCAAAAAGATCGGTAACAAAAAATTATACATTTTATAGCACTCCCCGGAAAATTCTACCCCTGTTTGATCTATAATTCTTTGAGATTCGGTCAATTATTTCCCGAAAAATTAGAAGAATTAAAAAAACCGGTTTTCAGAAAATCGGTAACAAAAAACTGTACACATAGTGGCACTTCCCGGAAAATTCTACTCCTATTTCATATACTTTTGGTAAAAATTCGGTTCAGGGGTTTGGGCTGGGCGTTGATGAGTCAGTGAGTCAGTCAGGACATCTTCCTTTATATATATAAATTGTACATACAGATATCTGTTGCACATAAAATTTTCGTTCACATATCATTAAACTTTTATTTATTTTGTGTTAAATTATGGACATAATATTTTTGTCATAATTTGACATATTTACATTATGTTAAAATAATCGATGTCCATAAATTAAAATAACAAAAATTTGAGTGGACTGTTTGAGACGTGTGATTTATGTTACATTTAACACACATTTGTGTACTGTGTAGTTCTCCTTGTTTTATTAACGGAGAAAGTTTGAATAAATTTACCATACCAGATGATATTTGACTTATTAAATTTTATTTTTAATCTATTTAAGGTTCTAACCATTTATTTTAATTTATTTAAGCTTCTTATCATTGCCGTTTATTGCAATGTTGCTCCACGATCACTGATTTTATAAATTTGTGCATTTACGTTTTGTCAACATAATTTTCTTGATTAAAGCATTCTATTGCTCTATGAAATAAGGACCTAACAGGCACATCTGACAGCCGTCGATTAGAAACGCACTCATACATTCCTCATCGATTTTATTCAACGTACTAATGATCGGTTTCACCAATTAGTAAACTTTAAGCATGATTCAGTATATATCTAAGTTCTTTTGTAAATATTACAAGGAGAACTCGAAAACGTAGTAATTCTTTTTAACTAAACAAAATTTATATATAAACGAAATTGCAGAATGTTTATTCTGGCAAAAATGTTTACTCGAGTGCCTTGAATATATCAAACGACGATCTTTGAAAAAATTTTTAAGATAAAAGGCGTAGTTCTTCGCAAACTGTTAAACTGTTAAAAAAATCCTATATTAATAAAAAAGAATTACGTTTTCAAACTAATTTTTCCATTGTTATCTGATATGAGAGAAAGAAGAGACTATTATAGTCTAATGGTGAAAAAGGATCTCGTAGCGACCTGACGAACATAAATATCTAAGGACTCTGACAGCTATTTCTCGACGAGCATATTAATTCTGCTGCATGCGGCGTATTGCATTTATGACGTATCCGATATAAAGAAGGTGAATTTTTCGCGTAGCTCATGGATACGGTGGCATTGGTGCAACAGCAACAGCAAGCGCTCGACGGTGATCACCAGAGTAAAAGAGAGCAGGATCACGTGAATAGTACTGTTGCGTCTGCCGAAAGTCACGCGGTCGTCAGGTTTTCCGGCGAGACTGAGCGGTCGGCGAAGGAAACCACGGTCGTCGCTCCGGGCAATGGTAGCATTGGAGTTTCCTCTGCACAGTGTAGTGACGTAGACGACGACGACGAGGAAGAAGAGACGGATGTCGAAGAAGGCGGCGCGGGCGGATGGATCACGAATCTGCCGGTATCGTCGACCATCGTTCAGCAGCAACCAGCGTTCGCCACCACGAATGGGGACGTCGTTCTACCGAACGCTGATCAGCCGACTTTTGGCGATGTCCGCGTGAAGGACTCGACGAATGTGCATCTTGTTAACCAGACCTGCTACAATGGTCCTATTACTTTAAAGCAGCAGTTTGTTTACACGAATCCTACTCCGAATCAGGATGCGAGCCGCGCCTTCAACAATACATCGGATTTATCGACGAGTAAAGACAACGGAGCTCCAAACGGATGCATCTTTCCGCAAAATACTAAATTAAATAAAGGTAATAGTTAATCATGCAACGCAATAGATTGTTTAAGCCCGTTGCTTTTAATAATTTTTCTATACTTGTTTCTTTTCGTACGTTTAAGCATAAAATCCGGATAACTAAAAGGAACAGATCTCTCATAAGTTTCAACAACAGTTTTATATAAAAAATTATAAATCGCGATCTTTAAAATTGAATTATAATATACATATAAATATACTAAGTATATTATAAGTTGAATATAATATAGATACTTTTTATCGATATTATCGCAACAAGACATTACTCTAATATCTTTCCTTATAAAAAAAAATATACTTCGTCCTAAAAATTTTAAATACATTAGTAGAACGCAATAATTAGTTGGTAAATTCAGAGACATCATAGAACCAAATTCTTTTCTCTACGTTTTACATTTAAGCATTTCAACACTTTGTATTGCGTACATATTTAGCCATAAATGATTAACCGATTTGACGTCAATCTAATGCCGATGTACTAACAAATAATCGATGTCAAAAACTTTATTTGAGTCGCAAAAAATACCTTTTAATATATGCCTTTTTATCTAAAAAAAACTATTTACAAACTTTGATCTAAACCAGAGCATGAACGTTTCCGGAAGAACAGCCGATATATCACAAATATCATTAACTAATATCATTAACTACTTTGACTAATGGTCCTGTCACAACTATTCCAGAATATAGTTTTAATATCGACAATATTTTAGATTAAAAATTGTTACACTTTAGTTGCGCCACAAGAATTAAAGCTAAATATAAAAAACTATTTTTATCACACAGTATATATGTGTCACGCTATCTTACATAGATTGGCAAGATATTGCATGCCGCAAATTGTTTACTCAATTGTGAATAAACTAGCAGAAAAGTGACATCAAACAAGAATTATAATGCGCTTTATGTAATTATAATATTCCTTTCGTACACAGTGCTACCCGTTATAATAATTGCGAATAAATTTCATCAAACGATATTAAGTAGCTCGTAAAACTATCGTTCTAATATAGCTTTTTATAATTATTTTAGTGACGCAATGGCTCTGTACGTGGAAATGGTATACGGCTTTATCGTGCGTTCTAGCTTTAATACTTCTGGGTATTATAGTGTTCATAACTGTACATTTCACACATCAATCTGACGTATTTCCCGCACCGTCCGAACCGGCCACACGGTTTACATGGACCACACCACCCGCAACACCCACACCAACCACACCGAAAATTCCAAACTCGTCTACCGAGGGTAATTGTCCATCTAGAAAATATTTTGTTACGCAAGCGCGACACGAGGCAAATGGTATATTTATCACGATTGCAAACTTAAAATCTGTCTCCTACATTATATATTTGTATTTATTCCATTTATTCGTTTACTTAAAAGCATTCTTTTTTTTACTTTCCACGAGTCATATATTTTAAAATTTTTTGCATTCCCTTATAAAAATTTTTCACCGTTTTTGGACCGCGAGAACGGTCAGTTTGAGTAGTAAAAACGTGCATTTGGCAATGAGTACGAACCGTTTTTGGGGCGCAAAGAGGCCCTTTTGCTTAAAAACGAGTGGTTAAAGCGGATTGTGTACGATTGCATACTCGCGTATACTCATCATGTAAACTGCGCGTGCTTGAGAGTGCAAGAAACAAACATAAAAATGATAAAACGGGCTAAAAACGGGCTAAAAACGATCTATGTGAGGTGTAAAAGCGGTGAAATATTTTTGTAAGGGTTCTTATATATGAAAGTAATATTTTAGATTTTAATGTTAAAGTTGACATATGCATCTGATTGAAATTGCCAAATTCGGTGTTAAATTAAGGAGTACTATAAAGTCTAACTATAAAGTCTGCATGGTATATTTTGAACTTTTTGTACGATATGTATTTTATTTTCATGACTTGCAGGTAATAACGGGACAGAGACTCCGTTTCGCCTTGTCGAGAGGAATGAATGGGGTGCACGGCCTTCGGAACCCCTAAGAAAAATGGAGAAACTGCCAGTACCACATGTAATTATTTGTCACACTGCGACAGCATTCTGTACCACGCAATCAGAGTGCGCAAACAAATTGAGAATTATCCAGAATAATCAGATGAAAAATGATTATGCGGATATCGCCTACAATTTCATGGTCGGAGGCGACGGCCTTGCATATGTTGGCAGAAACTGGAATTACGTCGGTGGCCATTCAGGAGAATATAACGGCAAAAGTATCGGTATTGCGTTTATCGGTGATTTCACTTCGGTTGTACCGCCGAAAACGCAATTAAATGCCGCGCAAAAGCTCATAGAGTTAGGCAGAGGAGCCGGAAAAATTGCGTTTGACTATAAATTGTTAGGTCACCGACAAGCTGTGAAGACTAAGAGTCCTGGAGATGCCTTATATAATGAAATTAAAAAGTGGCCCCATTGGTCATCCCAGCCTAGACCTTAAAGGTTCCTGCTAGCTCGATTGCCAAAAGTCCGCGTTGACAATATACACACGGCGTTACACCTGGCAAAATTGTAAACTAAAATTTGCGAAAAATGACATTAAAAAGCTGAATTAGTTTTGCGACCTACAGCGTATTTTTTGTTTCAACGCAGTATTTTTTTATTTAAAATAATTGTCGTAGTGTTAAAATATACCGAAGGCTACTATTTTGTTATAATTTAATACCCATTCTCATCCTATTACTCATGTCCGAGCTTGGTGACTTTTCTTCATATACATGTGTTGCGCACGTTATAGATTATACACATTGCATATATGAGACCTACAGTTTAACGCCGATTTTAAACGGCTAAATTTTTTAGATGTTTTCTTGGCAAGACATACTCTCGGTGGTTTGCCATCCCAGTAAGCAAGAAACACCAAGAAACATTATTTAACTACATTACAGCAACGTTTTAACATTAATGCAATGTAGTTGAAATGTTTCTTGACGTTTCTTGCTTACTGGGATTGTCTTCCGAGAGGAGAACGAGCAATTATAATTTTTTTAGCTCTACCGGGAATCGAACCTGGGACCTTTGGCTCAATAGACAGTGCGCTGTCTAGGCCACGCACGTCCTCGAAGATATGACAATATGTGAAACCAAAATACTTATTTCAATTTAGTAGCTGCCAAACGGCTTGTTTTCATCCTTGATTAGGCACTGATTCAATTTGACGTACGTGAATTACCCAAACAAAAGGGGAGTGTCCAATATGTTTTACAAGTCTATTCTACAAACGCTCTCTTATTGAAAAACATATTTATTTTAATGTCGCAAGAATTTTGATACTTATTTTTCTCGTTTTCAACGTCATCAATCCAAGATGACTGCAGCGAGTGAACAGGAGCCTTAATTTATGAATGAAATACAATGTCTGAAAATATTCACATCCTTTTTTCCTTTAAATCTGCAGTTGTCATCTGTCAGTTAGATATAATTTCAACATGTACAGATAAGAGTTAACTGAAAATATCACGTGTTTATTATTCCCATTCCGAGTATAAAAATGTTTTTACACCGGAATACAAATAAAATGACAAAAAAGCAGTTCCTGCAGATTTTGTGGTATCAATAAATTTAATTAGAACAAACTAATTAGTAAATAAAAGATGGAAATGTCATGTATAATAAATACAGAGTGTTAAAGGTACAAAAGACATTGCTCTGGTCGAATCTCATGATAAAATTGGTAATTTTGCAATTCATTATGTAATTAGCTTCACCCTGTATCTATAATTATTATCGAGATATGTATTCCGAAAAACGAATTTACCTGTGCTTTAATCGCTTATCTCGATTACACTTGTATACTTACATACATATGTAATAATTTTTAACAAAGTATATAAAGCATACATAAATATACCTTTAACCGTCATTACATATATATGTAAAATATACTTACAATATCAAAATGCAAATAAGTTTCAATCTCGGCTTAATAGCTTCCAGAACAAAATCACCATAAGTTTTTTGCATTCCGTACATAAATAACTATCTTATATGCAAATAATACAAACATATTATTTATTTATGTTTTAAAAATATTTTCCCTGTTTCTAAATTCAATTTTTCTGAAAAAAAAAAACTTACTCTTATGCTTTCGATTTAATATTTCTCGTTATATTATACAATATATTTAATAATAGTAGAAGAAAGTCCCTTATTATGAGATAGGGATCCTAATATGAGATGGCGGGGTTTTTTCATGGTGGGATCAACAGATGAAGCCTATACAGGGCCTTTTAGCTTATTAATATATCTCATATTAGGATCCTGTCTCATAATAGGGGACTTTCCTCCATTATTTAATAATAATGTAAGATTAAATAAATGCTTGTGGAATCGGAGTAAATGATTAACGTTATATGAATATTTATTCTGAACAAGTTATAAGATTAGGCAAATAGTTATGACAAAACGATGCAATAAATATAAGTTATGACAAACGATGCAAATATAAACTCTTAACTTTGTCTCATATTCTAATCGTATAACTCGTTGAATAGTCTCGTATCGCGGACGAACGTACTTAACTCTTAATACTGTTTTACAATCTGATCACTCGCGCGACTCGTTAGCAAACGCGCGACGTTACTTCGTATTGCTCTCTATTGCTCGATTTGCCCTCTCCGACGACTCCGACTGACTGTTAACGATCGGAGCGGTCGACGCGCACAACTTCGCGAAAACATTCGATACGTGATCCTCGATTATTGATTATCGACCGGGCGCGGAAAATAATCCCACAATAGTATATATTTTTGGTCATATTTTTATACATGTAATTTTTTATAATTAAGTTGATACAACAACACATTTGAACTCGACATTTATATCATCGGTTGTGACATTAAAGTTTCTATCTGATAAATGCATGAAAACATTCTAATTGATAAATCATCTTACGTATGTATTCACGCATCTACCTTGTACACATATAGCTTTATTAGTATTGCAAATCCATTGTCAGCAAATTTTTAATCACATGTTTTCATTTATTGTTGATTTATTATAATTATATCAAATATTCGTGTAAAAAACTCGATATTATTATCGAAGGTAATATTTTATGTTTATTTAAATAATACTATTATATTACTAAATAAATATATATTATTAAATAAAATATTATATCGAAGTAAAACACATCTTAGCATGTTAAATTCATTTTAATTCATGTAATCTCATTGTATCCAGTAGAATCTAGTGTTCATATATTATCAGTTTATTCTACTAGATTTTTTTTCAAAGATATACAAAATTGTCTCTTAAAACATCAATTGTATCTTAAAATTTGGTTTTAAGATATGTAATTATACATATAATTAAATATATCTAAGTTGCTATATACAAAGACCTCTACAAGAGCTCTAAATTTTTTTTAATGCATTTTTAAATACATTGCTTCTTAATTGGAGGCAAATGTCGTGATATAATTAGCACTAATTTATTTGCCTTAAACTGCAAAAAATTATATAATGGGAATTATATAGATGTTTTGTGTATGTTAGTGGTGTTAGAAATCTTCGGCCATCGAAATGAAGATACGATTCGGCTCCGGTAACTAAACCGAAAAGACTAAAAATTGTATAATGCGACGCATGATATACATATGCATGCCGCAAGCTACACTTGTTTTGAAGTAAAGAGACAAAGAGTGGTGCCAACAATTTCCAAGCACGTTTGACAAGACAACACATTCTGTTCCAGTGTCGGATTGAACGGAGATAACGTCTGCGTTACTCGTGCTTTGATTCCATCATTTCCATCGGCAATTTGATTGTCAGTAATGCTTGACAAGCGGCTTGCAATCGTAAAATCCATTCTTTTTGATAAAAACGAGCATCGCGCACTACTGAAATATATATACATATACACAACATAATCTCGGACTATTTATATGGTAACTTTATTTTAATACACAACAGTGACGTAGATTAGGTGTGACATTGATGACCGCGAGGCCACCCACGTATCAGCACAGAAATCCGAGGCGTTATTATTCAAATTAAATACGGGAATCCCTGTTGTACAAAAGGGAATATTGTGCACGCTATATCAGTTTCCGGTCTTAGGACCACTTCAACCAAACTCCGATTAACTTAATCGTTGATTAGTTCACTGAAAGTGACCAATCGCATTGTCAATCTGCTTAATGAGCAAATGCGATTGGTCATTTCCAATGAACTAATCAATTATTAAGTTAATCGGAGTTTGGTTGAAGTGGCCCTTAGCTTTTTTATTTTTCGTTTTGCTTCTCGCGAGCGAGAACGAGAACGCTTTCCACGATTCCATAGCCAATTTAAGGCGCGTCGTTTTTCAGTAGTCGCGTTGGCTTATCATTGTAACCAGTATCTATATATCTGACTGATCGTCAGAGTGTCATAAAATCAACGAAGATAATCGATAATGGTTTGATCGGAGTCCGCTCTTGTTCAGATTGCATCATGCGTGCCCGCAGGACGGTACATCCCCCAATTGCTGGTGGTATAAACGTCGTGTCGAAAATTGTTAGGACCAGATCAAATGAAGCTTTTTATTCCGCGAAGCGCTTTTCACGATAATGGCTCCATGTCATTATAGATTGAGTGTAAATTTAGTGTTGCAGAGTGATCGCCGCCAGCGCGAACGATGAATTGTGCGAGGTAATTCTAGTAATAAGTATATGAATCAGTCAATCTTTAATTTAACGGATAATGTAGATTATCGCCGACCAGCTGCGTCGATTTGAAATATTGATCACGAGTGATGTTCCTCGATTGAGCATGTCTTTTATTTTACCTATGAGTTTTCGATTTAAATACAATGTATGTTAAAATATGTATTTTCATGATAAACTTCGTTTTTACAGTTGATGTTCCAATTTGTCAAGCTAAAACATGACGAATTGTTATACCTGTTGTGATCGGCGGATGTCAATAATTTTAACTGATTAAAAGTGACGTTATCACTGATTAAAAATTTGTCACTGTGATGTAGATAAGCGAAATATGATTGATCAGTCAGATTGAACGCAACTTATTCCGCAGTAAAATATTTTGAACGGCGAAGATATGATATTGCGACGTTCAGTTTATACTAGTATAATCGATGTCCATAATTTGTTTATAAAGAAATCAAGTCGTTGTAGATGTTCTGCTTCTTATGAAAGGTACTCATCGTTTTCTCTTTTCTCGCTGTTCTTTTATCATATACATACATTCTATTTGAAACATATACTATTTTGACCGGCGTGAATCTCCATAATCTGTAAAAACGGAGTTTAAATAATTAATATTATTATTATTGAGTTATATACATATAGAACAATAATTGTAGTGGAAAATTTGTAAATTGGTTTATTTATAAAGTAACAATGTAAGATAAAAGATTCAACGCAAGAAGAGTATAATGGGGTACATTAACGATATCTAGTGTGCTCGCTTTCGTAAGAATTTTTAATGACCCAAACGGTATGATTTTTAGACATTTTGAAGACATTGAAGAATTTATCCACTGAATTAGCAATACACATCGGATAGAGAACTCGAAAAAACGTAGTAATTCTTTTTCACTAAACAAAATTTTATATCTGAACAAAATTGCAGATCTGGCAAAAATGTTTACTGAAGTGTTTTGAATGTATCAAACGACCATCTTTGAAAACATTTTTTTGAGATAACAGACGTAGTTCTTCGCAAACGGTTAAAACGGTTAAACTGTTTAAAAAATCTTATATTAATAAAAAAGAATTACGTTTTCAAACTAATCTTTCCCTTATTATCTGATATGAGAGAAACAAGAGACAAAGAACTAACCCAGACTGTTATAGTCTAATGGTAAAAGAGGATCTCGTAGCGACCTGACGAATATAAGTATCTAAAGACTCTAACAGTTATTTCTCGACGAGCATATTCTGCTGCATGCGGCGTATCGAATTTATGACGTATCCGATATAAAAAAATTGAATTTTTCGCGTAGCTCATGGATACGGTGGTATTGGTGCAACAGCAACAGCAAGCGCTCGACGGTGATCACCAGGGTAAGAGAGAGCAGGACCACGTGAATGGTACTGTTGTGTCTGCCGAGAATCACGCGGTCGACAGGTTTTCCGGCGAGACTGAGCGCTCGGCGAGGGAAACCGCGATCATCGCTCCGGGCAATGGTAGCATTGGAGATTTCTCTACAGAGTGCAGTGATGTAGACGACGACGACGACGAAGAAGAGAAGACGGATGTCGAAGAAGGCGGCTGGATCACGAATCTGCCGCCGGTATCGTCGACCGTCGTTCAGCGGCAACCAGCCTTCGCCACCACGAATGGCGATATCGTCCTACCAAACGCTGATCAGCCGGCTTTCGGCGATGTCCGCGTGCAGTACTCGAAGAATGTGCGTCTGGTTAACAAGACCTGCTACAATAATTGTCCTGTTACGCAGATCGTTTACACGAATCCTACTCCTAATCAGGATGCGAGTAAACATGACGCCAGCAGCGCCTGCGACAATGCCTCACATTTGTCGACGAGTAAAGATAACGAAGCTCCAAACGGATGCATCTTTCCGCAAAATACTAAATTAAATAAAGGTAATAGTTAATCGTTCAACGCAATAGATTATTTAGACCCGTTGCTTTTTGGTTTTAATAGTTTTTTTATACTTGTTTCTTTTCGTATGTTTAAGCATAAAATCACCGGATAACTAAAAGGAACAGATCTCTCATAAGTTTCAACAACAGTTTTAAAATATAAAATACAGTTTTATATAAAAAATTATAAACGGAACCTTCGAAATTTGAATTATATAATATAAATATGCTAAGTATATTATAAATTGAATATAATGTAGATACTTTTTATCGATATCATCGCAACAAGACATTACTCTAATATTTTTCCTCATAAAAGAAAATATACTTCGTCCTAAAAATTTTAAATACATTAGTAGAACGCAATAATTACTTGGTAATTTCAGAGACATTATAGAATCAAATTCTTTTCTCTACATTTTATATTTATGCATTT